TGGAACCTTTGTTACCATCCAATGGCTTTCGCAATCAACACTCTTTTTCTTCGATCGAAGGCACTACGACTAATTTTGTAACCTGTAAATTGAATCCTTTGTATCCTCACCTGCTATGGAATTTATCAGGTGCTTCCTCCCTCTGGAGATGAAAATCTAAACAAAGCTCAGCTCCAATTCCGTTCCCAAAGTAATTATTCATGGTAAAAATACTAGGATTGTCTTCTCTTCTTCCCATCGAGCCAAGCGCACCGTCGTTAGTGTCCGCTGAATCAAACATGACACACCATCTATCAAGAAACACTTCGTGTGCCTGATCAACGGCCATGAGAAGCGATACAGGACTCTAGCCACCAGAGTAACCACCTCCCCAATGGAGAACACGAGAGAGATCATTACCTGTAAGTTGAGAATCTCGTTCAATCTCCCACTCATTTTCTAGCTACTATGGAAATCACGAGAGAGACGAATACATATAAGCTGGGAATCTCATTCAATTTGCCACTAATTCTCTTGTTACTATAGAAATCACGAGAGAGATTCATTCATACGAGAGTCTCGTTCAATTTCCCACCCATTTTCTTTCCACTTTGCTATACCACCCGAACGGCAGCTTTTCAAAATACGCTACAAACGTAACTTGAAAATGCTCATATAATTACCGTATAGAGTTCTAGACTTTCAGTAATCAATACTACTTGATTTACTTTCAAATACTACTAACTTTTCAGGCCTAAAAAGGGAAAATCTGCATGACTTTCCAGGGTCTATATCGCCTAGAAAACACGAATGACTAAGTCATGATTAGTTTCAGATTTCCATCCCATTGACCAAGTTTGTTGAACGAGTCTTGAAATCTATGACATATCGCAGAAAAACAAAACGTACAAAGGTACTTTTGACTCTGGAAATAAATTTGCTCTAAATCGTGGGGAACACGAATACTTTGGAAAAAATCCACTTACCAATGCCAAGAGGAAGAACTGCTGATGCAGGTAGCTTACACTTCATCTCTTGAACAACATCATCCAAACATGTCAGCACCCAGCCAACTGTGCCATCACCACCACAGATCAAGACACGAAAATCAGAAATAGATCTGAAAGCATAAACTCTGAAACAAAGATACAAATCGATTCATATTTTAGATATTCAGCGATGTAAAGACGATGGGACAAAGCTGACAGAAGAAGACAAGGCTTATAGTTTTGAGTATAGAATAGCTGTAAATGATTAATTTGGGAAGCAACCTATACGAGAAGAATTTAAATCGCTCATCTGCAGGACGACGTCATATAAGGAAAACTAACCCCCATGCCTTTTTTGGACTAAAAATTTTACATCAATCTTTACCACTTCCTTGCTTGTTCCATCTTGAAAGTGAGGCTTGGGGGGAGACATTGTGTTATCTCATGTAAATATGGGTATCGCCCTTTAAAGGGTGCAATCTGCACTGGAAAGATTCTGCACCCACCCATATCTGCTCTATGGCTTGATTAGCTCGGCCTTGGTCAATTCTCGTGGACACAAGATTCTAAGGAAATAGTTCCTACTAAGTAAACAACTTCCGTGTAACCTCAACAAATTCAGGTGGGAATTCGTCTCGATATGGACGGGGAGTGAGTTTAACATACCCTGATAATGGCCTCCCTCTAAGAGGCTGTACACTTGATTAGGGTTGAGCAGTCTCTGGAAAGCTGTGAACATGTCTGCCCCCTGACCGCCACCACTTTTGGAGTTTACCAGTACTAGAAGGGGTTGGCTTCCAGGGGGGAACAGTCCAGGCTATAGGGAATAACGAAAAAATCAAAATAGGCATAACTCCTTAACTGTAGGAAGGAACAGCCAAAAGCCTCCCTTTGAGTATTTTAATGCTTAAAATATTAGGTCGCCAAGGTGTCGTCAATCTTGTTACCAGGGTCACTGTCACTCTTAAATAGCTGAATGGACATGGCAGATGGTCAGAGGAAAGAGGACTCAGGAAACGTACATTAGCCCCTCGTAAAACAAAGATACTTGTTAAGAAGCATCTAAAAAAACAAACAAAACAGAACTTACTTTCTCCTAGAATGTTGCCAATCAAAATTTTGTATTTGCTTGTGTCAAGGCAACTGGGAGACTACCAATGCATATGCATAAACTGCCCAAGGGTTCTATGTTTTGCCTCAGGTAGAATCTTGTGAGTTTCATTTTCCGTACAGACTTCTGCAAAGAAAAGAAGTACATTAACTTTTATGAGGAGTCTAACACCTTCAGATGAATACAAGATCTATTATTTATCATTAAAAATCACCTTACAGCTATCAAAGGAAGTTAATAACAAAATGGGTTCAAAGACATGAAACTATGGAAAGCAAAGTTGTCACCACCTTACCACCATACATTCAATGGCTATAACTTAAAAATAAGAAAAGTGGAAGGTAAAAAGGCAGAGGAGCCCCTCACCCAGATAATTAACCCTTTACACCCAAAGATCAGTGTGCATATTCTCCATGCTGTTTTCTATACATTTCCTACGGTGCTGACATGGAGATTTGCTAAACAATCAAGAGCTCTGGTATTTGTTGATCATTATTTAATTCTCATGACCTTAATGTTTGATTCAGGGGTGATACTGTAAGGAGAAATTAGATGTTGGTCAGTCTAAGGGGTAAAAGGGTCAAACTATTATACTGTTTAATACTACATAACTACATCTACTGTTGACTTACTATGTGAGAGGTTGATGATTCTCTGTTAGCTTCTGTCCTTCAAATGACAACCAATAGGTTTTCCAAATGTACTTCCTATTAGTTTTTATTTACAAAATTATATTACATTATGATTTGTGTATTGGTAAACAAACATTAAACTGTTTGTCTGATGATGTCAGAGTCAGGCTAATTGATCGATCAACATCTATTTAATCCATCAACACCTTCATCAGGTGTTGAGGTCGAAAGTTGATATGTCACTATTTGTAGCACCTTGGTTTGTAATTATTGGTGGATTATAGCTTGCTGTCATTGGAGTATTTCGATACTCATTAATTATTACCTTAAAGGTCTACTTTGTTACTGATCAGCTGTTATGCTATTTGATAGTAAGCATTTCAATTTCATCATCTCTATTGACGTATTAGATTTGTGTATAAGTTGAACAGTTAAAGTTAATATCTAACCCTCTACCACCTCGAGTGTTGTACTATGAATATTGACAAGTTTTCAAGCAGAAAGCTAATAAGAAGACAGGTCCTTAATGGTCGGCTAATGGTCGAATAAATGAATATCAGGTTATATTGTTTGATTCAGTATCAAATTTTCATGGCTGAAAACATAAATATGTATCAATCACACAATGCAGTGGACTGATATGTTGATTTTGCAAGTACAGTGTATAGGGGCCATCTGATTACATCAATCAGAAATATAAAACTATGTAAAACCATACTATGTAAACTTGACATCGTTTGATTCCTTATCCACTCCTTCCCTGGAGAGTTTAAGTAAGATGTGTCTTTGTATTGCCTTCTTTAGGTGATGCACTGTCGCATTTTGGATGACAACTACAGCTGAAAGTTTATTAAAAGGCATATAAAATTTTATATATATAAGGAGTGGATCTTCCACTGTCTTCCCCAAATTTTTTCACCAAAGAGAGCCATCACTTCTGGATGCGATAGAGAGTCAATCTTTTTCTCCGATTCTTCTGGGCTCTCTTCGTCCGCCATATTGAGTTGAGGTTCATTCCCAGGCTTTCTCGAGGTGCAAGAAGAGTGCGCCTGCCTGCGCTTGCCACGATTAGATTACAGCCAACATTTTAATACACTCAAAGACCGCGTAAATTGGATGATGATCTCCAATGAAGAACAACTTAAGATTGTCGTTCTGTGGTACTTTTTTTTTTCATGTGGGTATGCTGCTGGAGCCAAAAAGAAGAAGGATCTATAAACTATTGTTGAGGTATGTGAAGAGATTGAAATCTCAGACAAGCTTCTTACGCTTAAATTACTGGTAGTATTTCTTTATGATCGATCGGGTGCTAATTTCTGCAATTTTGAATTTGGATTTTATCTTTCTTCGAAAAAAAAAAAGCGAGCATTTATAAAGTCTATGAAATTGGTATTATTTGAGGGAAAATTCACGAAATTTGTTGCGATAACCTACCCGCGCGGATTTTGTTATGCAGTCGAGAAAATTAGAAGCTTAAGTTTTAATTTTTGAATACGTGCCGTACGTACGGGAGGAGTTTGGGTGAACTTTATGGCAAAATATGTTATACTGAAAAAAATCTATATTCGTTTGTCAGCCAAAAGTGGCTAAGCTAAAGGTTGTTGTTGAAATATCGATTAAACTGTTGATATGTATTGTGTATGCCAGTTGATAACACCTCTGTAGTAAATGTGAACGAGAAGATTAGTCCTTCGCAGGCGAAAGATGCCAAAATATCACGAGATATATTTTTTTTGTCCTTTTATCGCGGTATTTGTTTCATCGATATTCAAAATATTATTTTTTCAAGCGCTCCTCGTGGAGAAAAACTGGAAAATTAAATCACTAAGAACATTTTTGCTTTTTTTGTTCAAATACATGCACACTACAAAATAGTCTGGGCTATTTGAGAAGGAATGTCACGACAGGTGGTCTAAAGTGATGCTAGAAATTAATAATTTATTACAAGTCTCGTCTCCTGGCAGCAGTGATTAGGTTAACATCATGGCTTTGATATTGTAGTTTACATGAAATATAATTTGCAAGGACTTAAAAGCACAGATCTTATTAGAAATCTGTAGACTGTTCTTCAATAGATGGGTGCAACTGGTTCACATGTGATTCATACAATGTAACTCATACAATGTAACAATGAATTATATTCATACATGTACCAATCCAATAAGCACAAGATTTTAATTGTAATATGTATTAGAGAAAAAGTATGATTTGTGCATTTCTGAAGAGTAGTTGAAATACCTGACTGTGTATATATTGTTGAATTAAGACAAACAAAATGGAGTTGAGAGGGGAAATTCCTACAGTCTCATTAAAACATTCACTAGAATTTTCATTCAAAGTATGGTGTTGAAACTCAGTAGAATATGAGTGAGACAACATGTTAAGAATATTCTCAAAATATTTATACAAAAAAAAAGTACATGCCACTATAATTTTAGCAAGAAAACATGGTCTGCACAGTAATCTGAATGTTCTCTGATCTGTGATGGCTTTTAGTGTTCTTTTCAATGAACTATTTTATTGCCAAATTTGGAAACT